AAAAAAAAAAAAAAGGTTACTACTCTCAAAAGAGAAAAAAAAAAAACAAAACAGAAGGATTCCATCTATTAAGTTTATTATTATCGATAAGGTTAATGCCAATGCTATTAGCCCTAACAAATAATCGTCGTCAAAGTTTACTAAATGTTTTTTTTAAGTGTTTAGTTCTTAAAAAAATAATTTTTTTTGCTAATTTTTATTCTTTATATGACAGTTTATTTAGAAAATTTTTCAGCAAAAAAAAAAAGAGAGAACAGCAGAAAAGGTGATCAAATAACAACAGCATTATAACACGATAGATAAACTGCTGATACTGGAATTCTGTCTTTTCCATACAGCAGTCTATAGAATGCTAAAAAAAAAAATGTGCACAAAAATATCAGAATCAGTCAGTACAATGAATAAAATTTTTCGTAAAAAAAAAAGAATTTTTGAACAAAAATTGTAAGTTTTGTTGTATCAATGAAACTTTTGAAAAGAATCAATGCAGTTAGAGAGAAGTCTTAGTTTTTAACTTAATACTTATGCATAGAATGTTAGCTTCAAAAACAAAAAAAACAAAACAAAAGCAAAAAATAGAAAGCTTTCTTTCTTCAACTGTTTTTTTTTCTTTTATCATTTGAACAATTTTTATGGTAGTTTAGACCAGAAACCCGAAAATTGTTGTCATAAATCAGTAGCCGAAAAAAAAAAAGGCTCTCCAAAAAAAAAAGAAAAAACAAACAAACGAACGTTAACCGTTAAGAATGAATAAAACGGTATTGGAAGAGAAGCAACAAAAAACAAATTCTAATTTTCAAAACTTTATTCTGTTTTGTTGCCATTATTTATTTTTTTAAAACAGCTCCAAAAAAAACAACAACAAACCAGCATTGTTTTTAGAAAAATTTAGTTAGTTGCAGTTTTTGACAATTTCAGATACACTCACTATTTTTTTCAATGATTCACTGGCCTAAACTTAGCTTAAATCAGTCACTCAGTCAGTCAGTCAGTCATCACAAAAGCAAAGAGACAAATAAATAGACAAAGGAAAATTTTGAAAGAAAAAAGAAGTAATTTTGCTGAATAAGACAGAATTTTAGTTGGAAATATAATGCATAAAAAAATAGAAAGGTGAATAAGAAATTAGAAGAATTAATATTAGCATCAAAGTGTACAGAAATATTTTGCTGTTATTAACTTCCGTTCTGTTTTCTTTTTTTTTTTTTGCTACATTTTTATTGCTGCTATTCTGTTGAACCCATTCTGTTGTTTGTGGCCACCTCTGTCTTAATATACAGCACAAAATTCAATTGAATGGATACCAATAATCGTCACTTCAATAAAACTAAAATTTTTCAATTATTAGCCTACCATCTGATAATCATACAGATTTTTTTTTTGTTGTAATAACAACAAAATATATGTCAGCTTTACCAGCTGTATACGTTTGTTGTCATCTTCCCATTTTTTTTTGATCAAAATTTTAAACTTCTAAAATTAGTAACAACAACAGAAAAAAGAATGACCAATAATCGAAAAGAGAAACGTGTAAAAAAAAAAAGCTAAGACAAGACAGATAAGATTATTTTTAATTAGATTTTATCTTACGTGCTCAAAAAAAAAAAAATTTTTTTTATTTATATATTCAATTGTTTCAATTTAATTTAATTGTAGTTCTAAGCAGAATTAAAGAACATCACCACCACCAACAACAACAACGACCACAAAAATATTATCAATTTTTAAGTTCCATTTCAATTCGTCACTTTTTTTTTTTTTGACCACTAATTTAATTTTTATTCAGTTTCTGACAGTCAACAAAATAATAGCCACTGATCAATGGTCAATCAAGTCAATTGATAATACAGCACCAACAAAATATTCATCTTTCTCTTGAAACAATTGTAAGATTATTACGTTGTACAAAAAAAAATAAGTTAAAAGTTTTTTGTTTATTTGTGAACAAAAAACTGTTTAATAAAGCAGTTTTATTTTGCCCTATCCTAAAAGTGCTCAAATTTCGCCGGATTGTGTGTAAATGTTGGTAAATTAAACTAAAATGGTACGAAAAAAAAATTAACTTCCAGTATTCGCCAGCCCCGATGAATGGCAGTGACTGTGACCAACTTATTGGCTGACTGACTGATTAAGCGGCTTACTGGGCGGCTAACTAACTAATTGACTGACTGACTGACTGACTAACTAACTGACTGACTGACTGACTGACTGACTAACTGACTAACTGACTGACTGACTGACTGACTAACTGACTGACTGAC